TGCTATATTTGTTGCTCTTGGGTATAGTGTTAGGCAGTAGAAATGCAAATATCGTTAGCTGACACAGTGTAATGTGTAAGTGTACCACATGTACTGTAGTTTCTTTCCATTTGCAGAATGAAGGGAGGCAATGGTGGTGTGATCTGGTCACACAGCACCTTCGCTACCCACTATGATTTACTGGTCTCCTACATTTTAAGATTTTAATGCGATTTTTTATACCTTCTGCAAGACTTGTCATTTGAGCATTTTATATACACTCTGTATTACATTCTGTGCTACTGTCTGCTTTGCAACACATGGACAATCCATTTAATTACTTTGTGTTGCAAGTGAACATAGTCTTGTGGATTTTTCCTGTTTATTTTGAAAGCAGAGCTGATCAAGCGAAAGCTGATCAAAAGCCCATCTTCTGAGAGGGGGAAAGTAAATATGGATAAGCACCAGTAAGTGTCTCTCGCTGTACTGGCGAGACTTTCTAGAGACTTATATCATTAATGAAATTCAATTTAACATTAATTCGATTCAGCATGTTTACTCGTTCATTAGGTTTTAAGATTGATTTCGTCTCCTGGGACGGCAGGAAGCACTTTGATGATTTTTTTCAAATTGGGACAGAGAAGTCTCAGCACTGCAGGCAGTGCTCTTGGAATAGATCATGGGTTTTGTAGATAATCTGCAGCACAAGTGCTGTGTCACATACCGTGTACAAAATGTGCTCCACGGGACCACTGCCATGCCTAGTAACATAAGCAAGTTAGATTTAAAAGCCATGTGGAAAGACAGAAAAGTGACTCAGTGTTGCAGTGCTTCAAATGTTGCAATAACTTAGCTGCCCTAAGCTAGAACACTTTTTAGAAATGAAACCTCTTTTGTATTAGTGAATCCACCACAAACAGTTTACCATGGAGGGTACTCTCACTTCCAAATAAAATGAGCTGTATTGCTGTTTATGTTTCCTCTGCTTTTACAGTGTATGATTCTTTTCACTGAATGTACTTGATCCCCAGACTGGGCTACAGGTTTAACCGTATTATTAATTTCAGAAGTTCTTGGACCACCTCCTACTGAAAAGTTCAACCGTCAGAGAGGTCTCTAGCAGTGCTGATCAAGAAGCCCTAGACCCATGGCAATCTAACCTCAGTGCTGGTGTGCCTGCAGATTTTCATTCCAGCTCAGCTTTACCAGCTTCTCCCAGCTCCTGAATTACTGCTGCTTTAAAGAACCCTGGAAAATCTCCAGAAACACCAGCATAGGCATTAGCTCCATGTGTACTGGGTGTGCTCAAGCACCCCTAATATTGTAGATCATGTTATCATGGGATTTCACATTCACAGTCCTAAATATCTATTAAGGCATGTCTTGTCCTGGACTCCATCGGCAACTGATCTGACTATTTGTCACAGTTTCTGTTAATTACTGTACGATTATGACTATTATTTGTACTGATACCTACTGTATGATATAACAGAAGGCATATGATACGAAACAACAGATATGTCTGAAAAAGTGTATTGATCATTGTGCAAGTCACCAGGATTTAGATCAAATATTAAGTCACCCAAGTGTCAGAAGAACACAAAGGTTACAAAGGAAAGGAGACACTTTGGCTCATCTAGCTCATTTGGGTGCTATAAATGATCTTGGCTTAAAGCCCAGTTTTGCCCTGCCTTCAGATCATGTGCAGTTTGTTTGTTTTCACATTCTGGTACCCAGTTCGAAGCTATAAAAAGGGACATTGTTTCATAAGGCAGGAGGACGTGGTAGCATCTGTTTCTCGCACTGCAGTGTCGGTGGCTGACATTGAGAGGGGTGAGCGCTGGCTCACTTCACACTGCTCTCATTGTACCCCACGCTGTGCAGATAATGGATGATGGTTCCTGTGAACAGAACAACTGCCTGTGTTGAGTTCTGCCACATCTGCAGGAGTGTTGTGTGCTTCACTTTGCCCTCTCCTCTTTTCCTGTACTAGTTGTCTGCTGTTTTGATTTGGAACATCCAGGACAAAAGTATGAAAAAGTGGACACGCTTATGTATAAGGATACCGAGGATTGACACTTTTTTATATGAAAAATATCAATGTTCCTTTTGTTTTGACTTTGTGAATATATGAGAAGACCCTGTCAGATATTTCCTGAAGATAGTTGTTCAATGTAGACTTTATATCTGGCGATGTAATTGGTAACTTCTCGGAATTATTTGCATTTTCCTCAGGCATGATAAAATTAGGACTTACCTGACATTTACAGTAAGTTGCTGTTATAGGAATAACGCAATAATTATAGGAATTGCATCAATAAGATAATCTACAGTCGGGAGCAAGGTTTTTAAAACACCTAAACACTGTTTCAGGAGCAAAATTGTTTTTGTCAAAAGATTCCTGTATAATTTAGATTTTTGTGGCTGTTTCAATTAGATCTTTGTGTGATTCATATTGTAGCTGGATGTGGATGGAGTGCTGGTGCAAAACAATGCTTAGTGACAAGGAATAACTCAGAATTTAAATTTCTGCAGTGCAATAAACATCTTGTTTGTTGTTGTACAATTTATATCATGCATTCATCAACACATTTAAATGTTTTTCCCTTCCCTTGACCTCCGGTATAAGGCCTAGGGGAACACTGACACATTATTTATGTTAGTTCAAGACTATTTGCTCATCATAGCAGCCTATCAGTGTACTGTATGTTTAACTGCTGTACTTAGTTGGATGAATCTTATATTTTGATGATTTTGTCTTGTGACTTCGTTATACCTTTCAAAATAAAATTTCTGTTACCCATTCATATTTCCATCTCTCAGTCCATATGTCCAGTAGAGTGTCCCTTTTTCATTTAACTATTTTCAGCAACCCTCAAGATCATACTTCTAATCTTTCTAGTTTACTTAATTTAGTTGTATATCTTACCGCAGTATTCCTCTGCTCTTTCAATCTCATGGCACAGTTACATAAATACAAAAACTGTGGTACACCACTCCCCTTACCATTTACTGTACACATACAGTATACTCTACTGATCACCCCAATCTGAGAATTCACACTTTGTACTTTTTTGTAAGCATTAACCAGTTTGTAATCTATACATAAAACACATTTCCCTTAATGTCTGCCAATAGTTTGAAAAGTAATCTTATTTATACTCATCCTATATGAGTAACTATCAGAAATCTTCTAAAAATAAATACACTATCAAATGGTCTATATATAATCCCTGTTTTTGCTTGTTCAAAGAACTCAAACAAGTTGGTTAAGCAAGGCATACAAATCCATGTTGATTATCCCCTAGGATCATATTTCTATGTACTGTAGGTGATGCTCTAATTTAGTCCTAATAATTGTTTCCATAACCTTACATGTAATTAAAGTCAGACTTATTGATCCATAATTACTTGGTTCAATTTTCTCGCTTTTCTTGTAGATGGGGAGTACATTAGCAATTCTCCTGTCCAGGAATACTACTGCTGTGTTGAGTGATTGGAAGAATGGCTGATGTATCACATCTCTATTTTGAATACAATTGGCTGGATACCATTGAGGCCTAGCGATTTATTAATCTTAAGTGCTTTTAGTACTCAAAACACTTCCCTGTCTTTTATGACAATAGTGCCTTAGACATGTTGATTTCTTCTTTGGTGAAATCTTAAGTGAAATTCTTATTCAGAACATGATCTGTTTTCCTGTACATTTGCCACTCTTTTCCTGCATAGATTTCACTTCATCCTTATTTATTTTCTGTTGTAGTACAGAACAAACCTTTTCTTATCTATTTTAGCTTCCATTACAAAATTCCAAATTTTCCCATCTTTTTCTTGGTCTAATAGCCTTTTTTAAACTTGTGCTTGTAAATCTTTATACTTATTTTCTTTAAGTAGATGCTGTTTTTTTATACTTTTGTGAAGTGCTTTCACTACCCTTATTTTTTTCCTAGTTGACTTTTTGATCCATTTCAAATAGTTTTTTTTTGCTTTTTTGATAGATTGACTGTTGGTGATAAATTTGTTGTGTGCTTCAAGTAGAATCTGTTTAAGATTTCCATTCTCCACTGATTTCATATCTCCATATCTCATGTACTGTACTGTATCTGTATGCCACTTTGCACCTCATAAACTGTTACTTAAAAATGCCTACTTACATAAACTTACAAAAACTTGTAACTTACATAAACTTTCCTTAAAAATGCGTTTCCTAAATATGTTAAAATGAATGGCATTAAAAACACCACATGGAGCAGCTGCAGTAACTTTTCATTTATTTATTTTATCTTGCCTATAGAGAGTGCCTTTTCAAGGATGACTCACAAGTGTTATATATTGTACTACATGTTGGGATAGATAAAGAAACAAATAATTTATTCAGCAGCCTTCAAGCTCTGTGCTTAATGCATGTTCCTAAAAAAGGAGACTTTGTAACCCAGGCTGTTGGTTAGAGGTTGGGGATTCAGTGGATCTGCTGTGTATGATGCTGTGGACATCAGTTCTTCTCAGCTGTTCAGAACAGTCAGAGGTAAATACAAATCTCTCTCTCTAGGCCCAAAATTTAGTTTTGCTGTTAAATTTCACAATATAACAGAATACCCTGTTTGTTTTGACTGACCACATTCTCTCACATACATTTTCACACTTCTTAATATACAGTACCACTGTTTATGCAGATATGCTAATTGACTCTCTCCTAAATATAATTCCTGCCTTTATCCCCTTTCAGATTTTAAATTAATCCCGAACTATGAAATTACAGAAATTGGCCTTAAAGGATCCGCAACCACTAGTTACTGATGTGGCAATAAAATACATAATAAAAATGTCAAAGTTACAAATAAATATGCATTTCAATATATAGCTGTGTACAGTATCTTCAGTCTAGTGTATCCTTATTTGATGTACAGTGCATAATAATATGCAAGTTAGAAAATTGTACTCTAGGAATAGAAAGTCACACTGGATAACAAAATTATTATAGGTATTTTTTAAGGGCTAAGGTGAATGGATTATTAACTTACCATTCCTGCTGTATCTCCATTTTTCAGATTTCTGGTATGTAGACAGTCACAATCTTTTCTTTTAAAATACAGCTGCTTGCTGAAAAAATGCAAACTTAGCAGAATCAAAGAAAGAAAAAATGGCTTGAAAGACATTTTTCAACCTCAGAAAAAATGGTTCATTGTGTATTCCATTTTATAAAAATCTTCCTCGATTGTGTAACTGTGAATAGGCTATATGATTAATTTTACCTTACACTTTTACATTTCCACACTTTCCACTGTGTTATTGTCTTCTGTGATGAAAGGTTGAGGTTTAGAACTTCTAGTATTGTACCTTAGTAGGAGCTTAAAGCTCTGTGGTGACCTACATAAATTTCCTGTTATTTTCAGCAACTTTTTAGAGCCTTGAGATATTTTCTTATGGAACTTTTGGATTACTATATGAAAAAACAAAATGTTTTAATCTACTTTACAATTTCAGATTGAACTTTTTTTTTACCACACTGTAGGTACTTATATTTGTAAGCTTGTAGTTTGCCATTTAAATCTCAAATGTTTACTCTGCAGTTTGAATCAAATGAAATTCCAGATTTAGAGGTATTTTCAGCATACATGACACTTTGAAACTTGGTTCATTCTTTACAGCACTTTCTTCATGAATAATTTGATACTGTTGACAAAGCAACAGAAATGTATACCCACCGGGACATCTCATCTGCCCCCAGATGACACAGCTTGAAATTAATTCATTTATTAATTACCTGTACATCCCGTGTATAAATATTTAAATTCATGGAGTTGCATTATTTACAAATATCATAAAAAGCCCTCATAACACAACACATTTCTTCTGAAAATGTCTAGGACTTGCATACCTTTATAACCATATTGTTTAGCTTACAATTGATTCACATACAGTATATATTAAATAAGTGGAATGTTATGCACAGCTTACAGATTTGATTGTTGATATACTTGCAAAAATGCTTTTATGTAGAATGTATTATGGCCACCTCTTTTCTGTAACCCTAAGAATACATATATTTAAAGAAAGAGGAAAACAGCAACAGACAGACCTTGGTTAATGATGATATATACTCTATTCCACACAATGTAAGTGATTTCAGTGTCAACTGACCACAGCAGCTATTTCCTTGTTTGTTTTACATTTATGTTTTGACACATCCATAGGAACCAAAAGAATTAATAGAAAATAATAATTTTCTATCATGCCATGTTTCATAATGGTCAACCATGTTAAGTCAGACCATGGCAGTGCATGTTTTACCACATTTTTACCAAAGTGTAACATTATAAATTAAAACTTATACCAGGTAAATTATTCAGGTTTGCCTGTTTAGAGTCAGTCTACTTGTGTAGTACGTAAGTAAAATGGATGGTATTACTCTTTTATTATACTTGTAGACATACATATTGGTAACATGTATGTATGAAAGTATTTATGTTTATTAAGTATTTATAAATAAAATAAAGTAAATAAAGTATTTTTATAAGTCTAATAATGCCTACTCTAGTGAAATACTGTATTTCATTTAGCTTGCTCCAAAGGAGCAATCAAGATATTAATAATTCTGTGCTCCCATGCAGAGCATGAACTTAATGAGCAGAACAATACATTACACTTTGGAGTGTTTTGCAGTAGGAGAAAAAAACTGTCTGTTCTGATGGCCAGAAATTAACACACCCCAATCCTGCTTAAAGCGACATCTGGACACCATTAGGATAGGTCCAAGCCAGTATCTTAATGCAGTCTGTCACTATGGGAAGAGTTCTAAGTTATTATTTTATAGAATACTCTTTGTCCTGTGAAGAGAAAAAAACGAACATGTTTAAAAGCTTGTGTCAGTGTAATAAAACATTTTGTATTTAAATTGATAAATTGATTCATTTTTCCAGATTAATTTATGTGATGAATACAGCTTTCCTGGTCCTGCTGGGATTCAGTCCTGGACTCTGAGTTCAAACAGCACCACTCCCTAGACAGAGGATGACTTCACTACACAAAAAAAAAACAGTCCTCTACCACAGCAGAGTCTTACTTTTCTAGATTTCAGAAGGGCTGATGCCACTTCTGTAACTTGCTCACCATACTGAGTCCCGTTGCACTTATAATAAACAAACTGTGAAACATTAGCAAAAAACATTATAAACATTAATTGGTACAGTAAGAACAAAAGCAACTGGTTGATATAATCTCGCACAATACAACATAGCAAGTGTCACAGCCTCATAGAGTACAAGATGAGGCTGTCACAATAATGTTTTCCCCAGGACTCCCAGGGATGTTGATGGTTGGCCAGCAAACATCACTACCTTCACTACTGTGTGGGCCAGAGCTGATAATGCTTGTAAAATCCCTGCTTGGGGTTCCTTTGAATGCCACACGGGGTACTAAAATTATTAGAAACATAAGTTCCAAAGGTTCAATGTATTGAATGTGAAACAAAAGCAATAAACAAGTTTTAGGACCCCAGGTGTCTAGGGGGTAAAGGGGTGTAACATTTACAGTAGGATGGGTTTGGATGCAGGTGGGTTTCTGGTAAGGGACAACAAACGTTTGTGCAAGAGTGATTTTAATAAAGTGAATAAGTGACTGGTACGTATACGGGACACAATAACACACAGGGAAAAGGAACTTGAGTGGTGCCAAAGAAAAGAAAAATAACAAAACTGCCCAAGTTAATACAGTGACGGTGAGATCTGACCTAACCAAAACACGAAACAGAAGGTCTTTGGCGTCTTCATTCGCCCTAACGTCTCTACACTGAACTAACCAAAACCAGAAAAATACAAAGGTGGTACTCACCCCTAGTGCATGTGCACAGTGTAACCCGACAACCTTACCTTTCCCCCTGGTGTACAACAAGTTCACAGTTAACAATAACACGACATGAGTGAACCAATTGCACGATTATGGGAAAACGGGTAATACCAAAGAAAATACACGAGCAAGGAATAGGGTAACAAAATGAGCACAAGCAAAGTAAAAAGAAAAGTAACAAATACGGGCAAGGTAATACAAACGACAGGTAATCAAAAACATCAAACAAACATGACCACTAGCGAGCAAATGCGAACACGAGTCGAAGCTAACCGAAGTTGACCCTTCTTCAGATATTTAAACTGTAGATCTTGGGTTCTGATTGGCTGGGAGTAGAGATGATAATGATGTCACAACTGCAGCAATGGCGTAATGAGGGACCAATGGGGGAGGGGTACCTGAATACAAGAAGTGGGAAAAAAACAAAAAACACGGACGGGGACGTAAGAACAAGGCAGACAAATTGCAGTGTTAAATTCTCCAGTCTCAAGGACTGTTGAGGTGCTGGAAGGTCCTTTTACGTTGTGGAAAAGTTCATTACTTGTAGTTATAGAAGTTTCTGTCAGATCATCTGATACAATGATTTAGCCTACATCGCGAAAAAACCAAAGTAAAACAGCAAAACAGCAAATATGCCAGTTAAAAGGTAGTCGCCAGTTTTAGGGTTGATACATGATCTCCTCTACCTTACTGTATGTATGTACTGTATGTTCTTTAGAGCTCCTTCTAATATAGACAGTTCTCTTCGTTATAGTGATTCACTAACACACATTCATGACTGAAAGGGAAACTGAATAAAGAGCTTAATGTTTTCTGAAATATCACAGAAGTGCTTCTATTTGCTATTAGCTTTAAAATTCTTAAATATCATGGTATTAGCAGGGGTAATGGTAGCAATAATAGCAGCTATAGTTGTGTTGCCTGTCTTGTGTCTATTGCCCCTTTATGACGGGTGCACTGCTTTGCTATATACTGTAATTTCTTGCATTGCAATCAGAATTGACATTTTGATTCCAGGAGAATTTGTAACTTCTTTAGCTAATTAGCATAGCAAATATACATAACAAATATCAGAGCAAGCAGAAACACAGATAATTAATGATGAGCATTGGTCATAATCGTGCTAGCATCTCATAAAAATAATTTTCAAGCAAAAGCCATTCCTCTGCACAGAAAAACAAATGCTATGCACACCCCTTATCATTGTCCACTTGTTAAAATGTATCCTAAAATAGTAGGTTTATTGAAGTCACATATTTTCACATTATATTGCTAAAAAATGTACGTTTTCCGATTCTCTACTATTAGATGCATTTTGAAAAGCACACTATACATTGATAACGTAGTTACGCTCGTGAGGTAAAATACGGCAACAGCCAGAAATGAATGTTATCTTTTGATTTAATTCCAGCAAAATAAAGGTACATTTTTGTGATGATTGTCACTTTTTTTAATTAGAAAGAATAAGAACATTCTCAGATGGTGCTGTTTTTATAGAAGCCTTTTTTATGAAGAATCCTCCAACCCGAATTATTTTATTCATTGAAAAAAGTGTTTTACTCGTATTTTGAATACAGTCATTACAAAGAAAATATATTCTTAATCTGCCATGAGAAATTGACGGTCATTTCTTTTAATTGAGATAATGAGAGGATGAAGGGTTTCAATGGGTTTCTTCACTCGGAGAGCTTTAAACCTTCCCTTTGAATTGTTCTGTTTGTCAAAGGGGCCGCTCATCCTGGAATGAAACTGCACAACTTGCACGCAGATCTTTGTGCTCTGAAACAGCATTGTGTTCCTGTATGTGGCCCACTGTGAAGTGCTGTGTCAACATTCGTGCTTGAAATTGTTTTCCCACATGCTCTGATCTGTCAGTCATGTGTCTCGTCTTATTCTTTAGGCAGGTATCACTTCAGCCTTAAGCACAGTACTGTATATTTCAAGGGACAACGCCATGCAGGAGGGTCTACTTCGTCTATTTACAGGGTGTGCTGAAGGCAACTTCATTTCATTGTAATCTCGCATGTACCAGAGCTGACCTCCTGCAGAAGTATTTGAAATTAAAAGAAAATGAAACGGAATTCACCTCGTCATCGTGGTGCATTTTGCTTTGAGTTTTATGTCCAGCTTGCAATTTCCAGGTCATTACAATAAGCTACAGAATGAAACAGCAGATTAAACAAAAAAAAATGTTTTCCTTTGAGGCTATGCTTAAACGGTTACATGGATTATTTTTTGGTAGACTTATTTTCCAAAGCAATTCAAGGTAAAAGAGAAAATACCATTTGTTCTGTAGCAGGATAATTATCAGGGAACAATGCTACATTCGAATAGGCCAGATCTGAAGGCCTGTGTTTCGTAGGCAATAACTGCCAGCCAGTAATCAGCTAAGTACCATAATCCTCCCTGCAGGGTAAAATCTTGCTTGACCTCCA